ACGAAGACTTCAGCTTGCTTTGGTAGAAGCACAATGGATGCCAATTGGATGAGTGATGGAATAATAGCAAATCCAAACATGTACCTCCAGCCTGTTAATGGCACGTTATTAAAGATATAGTTGACGGCGTAAGCTATCAAGATGCCAACCGTGATCCCAACTTCGTAAAGAGTCACCATCAATCCTCTGCGTTCAGGAGTGACCATCTCCGAGACGAAGATACAGCAGCTCATTGATGAAACGGTCATCGCGAAGCCAATAACAGCCCGACCGATGACCAGTGCGAAAAAGGATGTGCCTGTAGTTAAAATAACGGAGCCGGCCAGGATGAGGAGATTGCTGAGTAAGATTGATGTTCTTCTGCCATGGCGGTCGATCAACCAGCCGCCGATTATTGACGCAAAGAGGGATCCGATCAGAAGAGCGCTGACCACGGCCTCCTGCTGGACGCAGCCCAGAGAGAAGTGAGTTTGGAGCTGTGGAAGAGCACCGGATATAATTCCCAGCTCATAGCCGAACACCAGACCACCGAGAGTGGACACAGTGATGGTCAGGAGCAGGACAGAACAACCTGGAGCAGAGAGAACATTGCATAAATAACACTATAATGGACCATACATGAGGAAAACATTGACTTTTCTCTGCTTAGAATATATTTCCTCTACATTCATTCATTTTCCATTGGCTTAGTCCCTTTATTCATTAGGGGTCGCCACTGTGGAATGAACCGCCAACTTATGCAGCATATGTTTTACAAAGTGGATGCCCTTCCTGATTCAACCCAGTACTGGGAAACATCCATACACACTCATTTACACACACATATTCATATACTATGGACAATTTAGTTCATCAATTCCCCTATAGCGCATGTGTTTGGACTTGTGGAGGAAACCCACGCCAACACGGGGAGACCATGCAAACTCCACACAGAAACGGCATCTGACCCAGCCGGGACTTGAACCAGTGATCTTCTTGCTGTGAGCTAAAACCACTGAACTCATTTTAAATTCAAATATTAAGAAATATATATATAATTATATATGTAATATTAGTGATAAAAGGCTACAAATTATATAATTAAAACCTTTTATGAAACTACCACCATAATAAATGTGTTAAAAGTTGCACATCTGATTGGAATTCAAATTTTTAAACTACAAAAGACATAAAAAAAACAACTAAAAAATATATATGAAATCTATATAAAACACTTTTTTAAAATTCAGCTTAATGTGCCAGGAAATTCCTCAGCTCTAAATAAATAAATAAATGCATTAAATATTGAATAAATTAATTAAAATTGTACTTTAAAATGTACCATTAAAACAGTTAAAATATTGAATAAAAAAATAATATTTTTATTAAATTAATATTTAAATGTAATTAAATATTTTTACAAATTATTAAATTACTAAAATATATTTAGAAAAATTTGGGGGAAAAAAAAGATTTTCAAAAGCTTTAAAATTACAAATAAAACGAAAAATTATGAAACTATTCTAAATAAAATATCATTTGGAAAAGAAATCTATATTAAAAACATACTTTAAGAAAAATCAGCTTGTATCCAGGGAATTTCTTCCAAAAAGAAAAGGCAAGAAATTCTGAAGATTCAAAAAAAAATTGTAGGTCAAAAATGTTTTATGATATTATAATAATCATACAATATTATGTTGTTTTGGATTAGCCCTGACAGTAAGCATAGCTCACTCAAATAATGACGTTTGCTGTTGGTTCAGACTACTTATCTAAAATGAGCTGAAACAACACAATTCTTGAGTTTTTCTTGGGACAACTTAATTGTTTAACGTTCAATTCACTTTAATTTGACAAAAACTAAAAAGTAACTTAATTCCTTTATGTTATCCTTACACTAATCGATTGTGTGCATAAATAATGTATAACAGGTTAAAAAGTAGATAACTGATCAAAAATGTCATATTTGTTTGCTCTAGTCTAAAGATAACCTGATTAATTATATTACCAGCAAACAGGTAACATTCCTACGTAACGTTTCTTTGATTCCAACTTGATAATTTGTTTTTTAAAGAACCAAAACTAATGTTAGAATAACCAAATACTAACGTTCAATTTCCGTAAAGAACTATCATGACAAACCAAAAACTAGCCTTCCTGAAAGTTCATTAGATCTAATAAAATAAATGTATTAAATACTAAATAAAAACATTTAAAATGTTCTTTAAAAATGTAGTATAAAAAACAGTTCAAATATTAAAATAAATTATTTTTAAATTATTTTTTATTTCAATTAAATTAATATTTAAATGTATTGAAATATGAAACAATATTAAAATACTGTAATATTTAGAGATATTTAAAAAATAAAATTTTACTTATTAAATATGAACATAAAATAAACAGAAAATTCTGAATAATAAATAATTTTGAAAGCAATTCTATAAAAATATACTTCACATTTTAATATAATTTGAAATATAATGCATGTAAGTGTTACTTTAAATATGTAATAACATAAATATTAATGGAATTATTAAACAAAACTAGCCTTAAGGGGACAGTTCAACCAAAAATGTAAATTCTGTCCTCTTTTACTTGTTTCAAAACATTTATTTTGACAATTGTTTCTTCTGTTAAACACAAAAGAAGATATTTTGCAGAAAACTGAAAAAAAAACTGTAACCATTGACTTTCATAGTATTTGTTTTTCCTACTATGGAAGTCAATGGTTGCAGGTTTTCAGCTTCAAAATAACTACATTTATGTTCAACATAATAAAAAAACTCGTTAACCATTTGAGAGAGTAAATAGTGAGTAACTTTTTTGTTTTGGAGTGAACTATCCCTTTAAAAACAACGTCCAGGGAACCAAAAACTAACTTTCCCATAACGTTCTGGAAACCAAAAGTCGTTAGCGAAGTTACACCGCTTTACTTTTTGTTAAATAACAATAGAGAACACAAAACAAAAGTCCAACTTACCCATTTTGATGAGAATTTAAAGATGCTGCTTCATCAAATACGAAACAAGTCTGCCTCGTCGGCGAACATCATCTATTATTATCATAACAAACACACAGAGAGTGAATGAAACCGAACTGAAGCTCAGTCTGGTCTGTAATCAGTGTCGGGCTGTCGCCATGACGACTGTGATTCAATCAGATGAGGAGCTCTTGAAAGCGCTTCTCATTAGCTAAAAATATCCCCGAGTTCGTGTTTATGTGTTTTTACCTCCAGTGCTGACCCTGGAGATCTTGTTTGTAGAGTTTATAGAGTCCATTTGTAGCTGGACAGTTATCTCAAGCCTGTTAAGGAGCGAGGATAAAAACAAAAGACGAAAGGCGGAGGTAGAACTAAAAGTAGCTCAACCGCTAACTCACATTTCAGCACATCAGGAGAGATGTTTCATCCCGATATCAAACTGGACATCGCTGAAGATAAAACATAGTCAGAGTTTATAATAGAAAAGCTTCTGTATCCGGGGTTTACATCAGTCTTTTGTTGTTGGAAAGTTCGCTGGAAGTTTCTCCTGTTCATCTGAGGAAGTGCAACTGCAGCAGCGACGTGGCAGGAGCTGTGAACTCTACAGTATGAGCTCTATTGGGACAAAGACCTACTGTACTTATCACATCTGCCATAACGCGTCATTATTATATTATATTATATTATATTATATTATATTATATTATATTATATTATATTATATTATACATTGAAGTTCTGTACTTATCATGACTGGCATAATGCGTCAATATAATATAATATAATATAATATAATACAACTTAATATAATATAGTATAATATAATAAAATAAAATATAATGTAATATAAAACCGTATAAAGCAATAAAATAATATAAGAGACATTAGTAAATAGTTCTCATATATTTAATTCTGCCAATACTGTTTGCTTTAGTCTAAAACACTTATTTTTAATTATTTTATATTATTTTCTGAAATATTATGCAGATGTATTTAAAGAAGATCCTCGATTTTAGTTGCTTTTCTTACGGTGATTTGTTTAGGTGTCACTGCAATTTTATGCATTTGTTTATTTTTTTAAATTTTATTATTATTTTATAATATTTAGTATGATTATTTTATTATTATTAATACTATAATTCTATTCTTTCCCTTTCTGTCTAATGGTATTATTTGTGTTATTTATATTTTTTCTTATGACTATGAATATTTGTGAGTTTTTTATGATCTGACTGTGATCCCTTGGACTTAGTTCTGATATTCTTGTATTGTCAGTTCAAGCAATAATAATAATAATAATAATAATAATATTCATAAGTATGTATGTTCTGTTTATTATTATATTATTATCATTATATTGTCATATTAATGCTATGTAATGTCACATAATATATATAATATAATAACCAAAAATAAAGTAAAACTAAATAAAGAAATGATCATTTTCACAGTACAAACATAAGATGATATAATATAATACAATAAAATATAACTAAATAAAGATGTTCTGATCATTTTCACAGTTGTTATTATGTATCATAATATAATGTAATATAATAAAAAAATAAGAAGAGTCAGCATAATGCATTGTTTCTGTAATATGTTTAGTTTTATATTTTCAATAAGATCTTCTTTACTATAGACATTCTTGTTACTAACAAAAATAAGATGATATAATAATATAATATAATATATAATATAATATAAGGAAGTTTTGTTACTTATCCGAGGTGGCATACTGTGTCGTTATATTAGAATAGAATAGAACAGAACAGAATAGAAAGATGTCTGTTTGTTATCACAGCTGACATAATGCTTTACAATATAATATTACAATATACAATTATTTATTTAATAACCCATTAATTGTATTTTTATTAATGTCTAAATTCAACCCTCACAGTAATGTATATGAATTATTGGTGTACACAGTCTCAGTGTCAAAAATTATGCCACATTATGCCTGAGAGCATCCGCAGCTGTATCCCATCCAGACTCACCCCCAGATGTCGCTGTGCGCTCGTGTATCTCATAACAGTAGTAGTAGAAGAAGAGCGCGGCACATGGCAGTCTGTCAGAGGGTTTATTTTGGATCATGGCTCAAACAGACTCAGCAAAAGCGGCTGTCCCGTCCTATTTAAAAGAGGCGCAGATGATTAAACAGGGCGCTGAGGCTCGGGTCTATCGAAGCACATTTTTGGGTCGCTCTGTGATTATTAAGGAGAGATTTCCCAAGTTATACCGCCATCCGGAAGTGGATGAGAAACTGACGCGCCGCAGAACAACACAGGAGGTGCGCTCCATACTGCGCTGCAGGAGAGCCGGTCAGTGCTGCTCTAAACACAAACTCTTAATAGTGAAATCATATTAGCAGCCAATGACTAGCAAAGTACTAAATTGTTCACATTGTTAAAAGGAGCTAATGTTGTTTTGAAGTCATTCAGGGTAAGGGGAAGTTACTTTTGGAAGTAATGCATTACAGTATTGAGTTGCTCTCCTGAAAAGTAACTAATTGCGTTACTTATTTGCTATTTTCGGTAAGTAATGTGTTACGTTACTTTTGAGTTAATAATGACCTAGGGTGCGTTTCCCAAACAACGACATAACTCGCGGCTGAACTATCATAGTGAGATGCATCATTTGGGAAAAGAAAGATGTAGTGACGAGAGTTTCCCAAAACCTGTAGTTTCTCTGTCGCAGTCGCAGATCCATCGCTTAAACCACGTTAGGTATAATAGAGGTAAAGTTGGTTTTATATTTGGATATTCAGACGTTCTCTTTAATAATATAATGTCAGAAAAGTATTATTTGCAAATTCTAATGGGGTATATGCCGAAGCATGCTAATAGGACTTTTAATTTGCCAGCAACCTGGGTTAAGCGCTTCCGGCGAATTGAATGCCAATGCAAAATCCGGTGCGTTTGAGGTCTGTTTTCTTTAAAAATCAGCAATCTCCACTAGCTGAGTGATATCCGATTTAAAGTGGGTCTCAGATTGTACAAGAAGCACTGCATTAAATTACATTTCCCCCGCTATATCTTTATAATATGAGCATTTATTTTACCCCACTACATTCAATGGAGCTTCTGCGTTAGCCTGCCGATTCTGACGGGCGCGTGCGAGTAAACAGCTTTTTGTCTCGTTTTACGCTTGAGCAACCAAATAAATGCTACAGTTTATTTAACTGAATGTATTTTAATGATATTACAACATCGATGCTGTATGAGGAAACGTATAAAATGGAAAAAAGTTCACAAAACAGGTCACCGGAAGTGTATCATCATGGGAACAGCACTAGCTCGGCATATACCCTATTAGGGAAATCATATTAGCAGCAAATGACTGTCAAAGTACAGCATTTTTCACAGTAAATTAAATAGTGTTAATGCTGTTTAGTCATACTTGCATGTTAATTCCGATCGAATATTTAACGTAACATGATAAACAATATAGGGACTGCTAAATGAACGAATGTGCGAATATAACACCAACTTTACCTCTATAAAGGGTTTGGGGAGAGTTATTACAACCTAACAGTAGGGCTGGGTGATATGTGCAAAATATCATATCCCGGTATTTTTAGGAGGAACGACGGTATACGATATATCCGGTATTTTCCCATAAATGGTTACTTGAGAGTAAAAGCCTTTATTAAAACTTTATTAAACATTTTTTGAGCAAAATATAATTCAAACACAGGGGTTTCCCTCCCCGTTTACAAATAAACAGCTGCACAAAAAAGAACAGCTGCACAAAATCTTTAATAAATAAAAACCAGTTCAGGGGTTTCTCCTGCTTAAAACGACAAGTTGCACAACATTTCAAATTGTAAACAAAATCTTTAATAAATAAAAACAGTACAGGGTTTTTTTCCTGCTTAACACTATTCACAGCACTACTGTGCTGCTGTGCAAATAATAAAGTAAACAGAATTATAGAAAACAGCTATTGTCAGAGCAAAATAGGACACTTAAATAGTGACACAACAAAAAGTGTTGTAGGATAGAAATGAACCACAATGAATGTTAATATGAAACAGTATTTTATGTCACAGTTACAGTGTTGTTATAAGTATTCCTGTATAGCACAGTTGAGTGATTTAAACAACACTTAAATCAGCTGTATGTGTTTTTAGTTACACATTTACATGTATGTATGTATTGTGCACAGTTATTAAACAGTGCACATATCCAAGATATCTAAAGAGAAGTCTTTCACGTCATGTAAAAAATCCTACACTTTTTCTTTTGTTTTGACTAAACTCGTTTTACTAAATATTAAATAAGGAAAACGAATAGACTATAGATATAAGAAGTAACGAAATAGTTTCAGAGTACTGTGATGTTAAGCATATAAATAAGCATGTAAACCGTCATTATAACAGAGCAGAACGCGGAGCTAAATGTGTTATAGTGGAAATGTACAGAAGAGTCCGTCGTGTAATAAATCCTGAACTGATAATCAGTGAATATGAGGTGGTTTCACTTTCGAAATGCCCTATAAATTCCTCCCATTTTGGCGCTTTTAGTTCTTTTGAACACATTCAGGTGCTGCATGTCAATTTGACAGGGCGTCTATGTTTGTTCTTGCTGTCAATTGTGGAAGAAATGATCAATAAAAGGTTTCTGATAAACCGCTGTGATGTGCATGCACCTGCCAACACTCCCGTTTTTCCTGGGAATCTCCCATATTTCAGACCCATTTCTCGGCCATCTCCCGATTGTTCTCTCTTCTGGAAAACTCCCAGAATTCCACCCCACAAACCCAATGTGCCACCATCTTCATACCTGCTCCAAATCCCCCTATTTTGAACAAATCTTTTATTTGACTCCTGGAGTGAATCATTCATTTGCTACCTTGGAGTGAGCTGTTTTGTGCAGAATGCGCACGTGTGGCCTCGAACCATATCGATATAAATGATATTGGATAATCGCGCTTCGCGTTAGGGAATCATATCGATATATCCCCAGAACCCGATATATCGCCCAGCCCTACCTAAGACTCCTCCTCCTCACCATTTCTGTTTGTTGTCAAAACTGACAGCTAGAGGGGCGTGGTTAAGTGTGTTAGCCACACCCAATACTTCAGACAGACCTAGGCTGCGTCCGAAACCGGATACTTCCATAATATATAGTACGCCAAAATCAGTATGCGAGCCGAGTAGTATGTCCCAATTCATAGAATTCGAAAATCAGTATGCGAGAAGTACCCGGATGACTACTTCCGGCGAGATTCCGGAGTGCGCATCCCATGCACGCTGCGCTATCCCATGATGCCCCGCGAGAGAATTCATGAATGGAAGTAAAGCGACGCAACTGACGCAGGTAGGTCACGTGACCATGACAAAATGGCGGATGTAGTACGACCGAATTCCATTCATACTTTTCACATTCATACTGTATAGAACGCACTTTTCTAACGGCCGAGTAGTACGTTTAAATTCATATGCAATACCTACTGAGTAGTAGGCGGTTTCGGACGCAGCCCTAATCTGAGAATTAAACTGAAAACAAACAGTAAGTGCATATTCAGATTTCGATGAAAGAATTCAAGAGCAAACTATTTGTATTTGTTCTTAATGGCATGCACAGATGAATTGTTCACCACAATACAATAAGTAACGATGTCTGTTTTGTCCTCCTCAGGCATCAGCGCACCGGTTGTGTATTTTGTGGACTACGCCACACACTGCATCTTCCTGCAGGACGTGGTGAACTCTGTGTCAGTGCGAGACCACATCAGATCGCAGCCGGACGGTCTGCAGACTCTGGCGGAGCGCATCGGTGAAGTTCTGGCTCAGATGCACGATGAAGACGTCATTCACGGAGATCTGACCACCTCCAACATGCTGCTGACCAGCGGAGGACAACAGCAAGACTTCAACCTGGTGCTCATCGACTTCGGCTTGAGCTACATCTCCGCTCTTCCTGAGGATAAAGGAGTGGATCTGTACGTCTTGGAGAAAGCTTTTCTCAGCACTCACCCCAAAACTGAGGCTTTATTCGAGAGGCTTCTGAAGAGCTACAGCAGTGCCTCTAAGAAGTCCACTGCGGTCATCAAGAAACTGGACGAAGTTCGGCTGAGAGGACGCAAGAGGTCAATGGTGGGATAGCAGTAAAGTGGTTTCAATCATTCAGGCTTAAAGGATTCGTTCATTTGCTGAATAAAAATTTCCACCATCGAAGACTCTGTTTCCCAACCCTGTTCCCGAAGGCACAGCAACAGAACATTTTTGATCTCAACCTAATCAAACACACCTGAATCAACTCATCAGAAGATTAGAAAAGACCCCAAAAACCTGGAGTTAATGGGTCAGATAAGGGAGACATGGAAAATATGTACTGTTGGTGTGCCTCCAGGAACAGGGTTGGGAAACACTGATCTAAGATAACTGGTCAAACTAAAATTAAAAAGTACTCACTATTTTTACTCAAAAAAATAAGTTTGCTGTTTGTTCAAACTACTTATTTCGCTGAAACTACACAATTCTCAAGTGATTTTTTGGGACAACTTCATTTGCGTCCTGAATAAAAATGTTCATCGTCATCTAAGACAGTGTTTCCCAACCCTGTTCCTGGAGACACACCAACAGTACATATTTTGGATGTCTCCCTTATCTGAAACATTAACTTCAGAAGGTTTTATGCAAGTACGAGTAAATAGTGCTGAATGTAGATTTTTGAGTGAGCAATAGGTTTAATTTCTTTTCAGCTAAAAAAAATAATGAAATTAACATCTTTGATGCCTGGAGTAACGAACTTAAAACATATTTTGGATGTGAACTAATCCCTGCAGTTTGATGTTGGACATTTATAAAGGTGTATTTCTTTATTGTAATGAATTTCGATTTCTAACATGTTGGTTAAACAGTGTTTTTGTGCTCATTTTAGTGTTTCTTCTGAATGGAAGTCGAGTTAAACTAAATGTAGTTTAAAATAAACTGTTGAACCCTATTAACATGCATGAGATGTATTTCTCGCTGCATATGCAACCAATAAAGAACTGGCTTCAGAATATTGCTGGAATGTGTGTTTAATCAGTAATAAATAAAACATGCACTCACTGGCCACTTTATTAGGTACACCGTACTAGTACCAGGTTGGACCCCCTTTTGTCTTCAGATCTGCCTTAATCCTTCATGGCAGAGATTCAACAAGCTACTGGAAATATTCCTCAGAGATTTTGCTCCATGTTGACATGATAGCATCACGCAGTTGCTGCAGATTTGTCAGCTGCACATCCATGATGTGAATCTCGTTTCACCACATCCCAAAGCTGCTCTATTGGATTGAGAACAGGTGACTGTGGAGGCCATTTGAGTACAATGAACTCTTCAAGAAACCAGTCTGAGATGATTCACGCTTTATGACATGCGTTATCCTGCTGGAAGTAGCCATCAGAAGATGGAGACACTGTGCTCATAAAGGGATGGACATGGTCAGCAACAATACTCAGGTAGGCTGTGGCGTTGACACGATGCTCAATTGGTACTAAATCTGACCCAAAGTGTGCCAAGAAAATCTCCCCCACACCATTACACCTCCACCACCGGTCTAAACCATTGATACAAGGCAGGATGGATTCATGCTTGCATGTAGTTGACACCAAACTTTGACCCGACCGTCCGAATGTGTCAGCAGATATCGAGCCTCATCAGACCAAGCAACGTTTCTCCAATCTTCTATTGTCCAGTTTTGGTGAGCCTGTGTGAATTGTAGGTTGGAGGTGTTGTTTGTTCAGAGATGCTCTTCTGCAGACCTCGATTATAACGAGTGGTTTGAGCTGCTGTTGTCTTTCTATCAGCTGGAACCAGTCTGGCCATTCTCCTCTGGCATCAAGACATTTTGCGCCCACAGAACTGTCGCTCACTGGATATTCCCCTCGGTTATGTGCACACACTGCAACACTACTGTGTTTAAACCTCTTAAATGGTTAAACACTTTAAATTAAATGACACTTTTTTTTTTTTTTAAGCCAGGGGTTGTCTTTGTCGATAACACAGAGCTAAAATAGCACAGCATTTATTTAAGTGTGTGCTTTTATTTCACAATAAAAATATTAACAAAACAAAACATGCATTAAGAACACAAAGATCAGTGCATTTTACCTCTAACTTAAATACATAATATAAAAAAAGTCTCACGTAGCAGTAAGCTGAAATAAACGAAATATAAAATCCATAAACATTTCTACTGATGGCACAGAGAAGATGCTAATCTCATGCTGAACTTAGTAGGCAAAACGGTCCAAAATCAAACGTATTGGAAAAAGTGACTCACGTATCGTGTAAGGAGTCCTAGATTGCAAATAAAACACAAAAGGAAACGTCTGTTAATGAAGCCTGAACAAAAGATGTGTTCAAAAAGTCCTGAGGTCACGTGAAGTCTCTGTTGGGGAGGATCATGGGAGCGATCAGACTCCAGGTGTATAAAGTGAGACAGACCCAGCTGGAGGAGATCTTGACCCACACCGCCGGCCACTTACTCCTCATGGCGTTGTAGTCTGTGTCAGGACTGTGTTCACAATCAAGTGAATTAGAAACAAGATCTTAAACCTGCTGCTGAACTCATGTCTACTGATGTACGTCTGTTTAGTGGAAGCCTGTTTGTGATTGTTTTGTTTTTTTTGAGTTTACATCTCACAGTTGTGCAAAATAAAATGCTGAATTGTGAAGCGATCAAGTCTTAAATTTTAAAATGAAAACTCTGAATTTTGACAAAGAGTAATGCTGGAAACTTACAGCAGGGAAATTGAGTGTTGAACATTCATCTAAAGGAGCTGTTGACATGGAGTTGAAGCAGAGTTTGGTGGAAACCCAAACAATATAAACATAAAAATTAAAAATGAGATCTGTGTAATAACAAAATGACACAAGAAGAAAGTGCTGAACTTCTGAAATGTGTTTAATACTTTATATAAAAGCCTAAAGACGCCTCTCATATAAAGAATAAAGTCATATGCATTGCTCAGGTGTGAGTTTCTCACAGACTTCAACAGAGTGTCAAAATCTTGATGCTTCTGTGGGTCTCGTCTATCAAATCTGAGCTATATTCTGTATTCTCTATTGAATTCAGCTCAGGTGATTGGCTGGGCCATTCCACAGCTTGATTTTCATTCTCTGAAAGCATCTGAGAGTCTCCTTGGCTGTGTTTTGGATCATTGTCTTGCTGAAATGTCCACCCTGGTTTCATCTTCATCCTCCTGCTAATGTAGATGTTGGACTGAAGCAGCTGATCTTCATTTACACTGAGGAAGGGCAGAGGCTTGCTGAAGAACCACTGAGAGATTTCAGTTGCTGTCTGGGCTTTCACTGCCGAACTACACCTCCCTTTCTTCATCTGTTTAATACTAATTCTCTGTCTCATGTCATTTTATTACGCATAACTTCATTTGCACACTAATTAGATTTGTTTGCATTTATAGATTTCTTTGGTTGTCTCCAACATCCACAATTTCAAGTAAACAGCACCTTTAGAAATGTGTTTTCTGAGAGAAATGGCGATGTGTTCAATACTTATTTCCCCTACTGTAACTCAAAAGTGTCATGCAAATGTGCAATTCTGACCAATTTCAAGCCAGTTTAAATCATTTAAGCAGAGGAAACTACAATTTATAAAAGATTAAAATCACATGTAAAAAATAAAAATAAAAGTTTTTACATTGAATTATTATTAAAAAGGAAAACCATAAAGTATTTATTTCATTTGTACCTTTGTTCTACAGTATTTATCAATGCTTATTATTGGTTTATTGCATTTTACGCAGATGAACTCCACACCAAAATCAGCCTGATCAATCTAAAATAAGGAATTCTTTACAAATAGAGCTATTCATTTCATCATGGTCAAATTACACTCAATATACAGTCGAAGTCAAAATTAATCGCCCCCTTGTGAATTTTCTTTTCTGTTTCAAATATTTCCTAAATGATGTTGAACAGATTCAGGAATTTTTCACAGTATTTTCTATAATATTTTTTCTTCTGGGAAAAAGTCTTATTTGATTTATTTCAGCTAGAATAAAAGCAGTTCTTAATTTTATTGAAACCATTTAAGGTCAAAATTATTAGCCCCCCTTAATCTATATTTGTTTCGGATTGTCTCCAGAATAAACCGCTGTAATACAATGGCTTGCCGAATTACCCTAAATTTACCCTACTTAACCTAGTTAAAACTTTAAATGTCACTTTAAGCTGAATACTAGTGTCTTTAAAAATATCTAGTCTAATATTATTTACTGTCATCATGACAAAGACAAAATAAATCAGTTATTAAAATGAGCTATTAAATCTATTAGAAAATCTGCTCTCCGTTAAACAGCAGTTTGGGAAAAAATAAACAATTAATTCTGACTTCAACTGTATATCGCAGAAAAATAAAACATCGCAGCTGTTTCCAGTATTGTAGAGGTTTGTGTGGTCACTCACCTGTACCAGTTGGTGAGCGTCATCATGATGTAAAGAGACGCCAGGAACAGCATGAAGTGGAAGAAAGCGTAGCTGTACTGAACCGTCTCTCGCTCATTATCTTCCATATGATGTGCTGTGGTGTTTTCTTCTGCCGCCTCTGCACTGCTTGCGGCACTTTCATCCTGAACCGTGGCATCTTTAGCCGCTAAGGTTAATTTATTCACTTGACTAGTATTGGAAGAGCGAATGCTGCCAAGAAAACATAGAAACAAAAGAGTCTCTTTATATTAAGTAGACAATACAGCCTTAATAACAGTGTCCATCTGGAATTCTTATTGTTTTATCAAAGATGAAAACGCCTTTTGACCACTGTTTTGTTTCAGTACTGCCACCTTCTAGAAGTATTCAAAACAATTAGATATTTTAGGAAATAATTAACACTATATAATGTCATTCCAACATATTTTTCCAAGAGAATAATTTATAAATGGTTTAATACAAGTAAACTACAAATAATCTGTAAAAATGTACAATATTTTTGACCACAAGTAGATTTAAAAACTGTACCTTGAATACAAAATGCAGAGAACAAAAATGGCCAGGCCGACGATGCTTTGCGCATCCCACCAGCGCAGGTACGGGGCTGTCGGCACCGTCTCCTCCAAGTCTATGATGATGACGGCCGTCTGGTTCTCGATCTCCAGCGGGGCGACGGTGGTGGATGTGATCTGCTGGATGATGCTGAGCAGACTCGGGTTACACGTGCGGTCTGGAGAAACACAATACTTTTACACTCACAGGTTCATTCATTCTTCAAGATGAAGATGACCGAGGTGAGAAACTCTGGTTATTTATAGTGAGTTAGGAATCATCTGATTGCATCATGTGTTAGCTGATGCAGAACCAGCCATGATTAATCATAAGCACGTGATTTTCTCGAAATTAGTTTATAAATAAACCCGCACGTAAACAAACCAACCAACAAACAAATCGACCAACCAACCAACTAACCAAATCTACATGTAAACATCACAGCTTAAAGAGATGGCAAACACCTCTCCATTTTGGGTATAATAAATAAAGTAAAGAAAAGAAAAGTAAAGTAAACCAACCTAAAAATAAACAAAGGAACTAACTGACCAACCAATGAACCAACAAACAAACCAACCAACCAACCAATCAATCAATCAGAGATTAAAATCTGCATGTAAAATAATAGCTAGAAGAGAAGGCAAACTTTCCATTTTGAGTAAGAGAATAAATAGAATAAGAGAAACAAACCCACCAACCAACCAAGAAACGAGTTAACAAAGCAACCAACCAACAAACAAACAAAGCAACCAACCAACCAATCATCAATCAATCAAAGACTAAGATCTACATGTAGAAATCACATCTAAAAGAGAGAGCAAACAACTCTCCAACTTGAGTATGAGAATAAATAAAGTAAACGAACCAACTAACCAACCAACCAAACGATGAATGAACCAATAAAAGAACCAATAAACCAGCCAACCAGCAAACTAACAAACAAACTAACCGATGAACCAACCAATCAATTAATAAACCTCTTTTTATCAAGTTTTGCCTTCTATTTATACTGAGATCACAGAGGGAAGAAATCACTTTCCCGAACGCTCACGCTCAATCTGCCCAGTTGGTGGAATGAACTCCCTAACTGCATCAGAACAGCAGAGTCACTCGCTATTTTCAAGAAACGACTAAAAACTCAACTATTTAGTCTCCACTTCACTTCCTAATCTGCAATTGCCTCTCTAAATATCACACTAACTGTACCCAAAAAAAAAAAAAATACTAATACTAATTCTACTAATACTTTCCTTCTTAGTCTTTACAGACCTGAAACTTGCCTACAGAACTTATTCATTGTTGCTCTTAGTTGTGTAAATTGCTTCCTTGTCCTCATTTGGAAGTCGCTTTGGATAAAAGCGTCTGCTAAATGACTAAATGTAAATGTAAATGTAAATGAGATAGATTTTGCAGAGTGGACAGATGTGAAAATGCTGTTTTCTTAAGGTGTTGTGATCTTATTGTAGTATCTGATTGGGATGCTCGAGTACCAGTATTTAGTGCTTTTATAACATTTTATAAATGGACAGTGAGATTAAATGTATAAAAAAAAACAGGGAGGTTGCTAACCTGGTTCATTTGTCATGGCTGACCAGGTAAGATACATGGTGTACAAAGTCATGATGGACGACTGTAGAAGACCAGATCTGGGCTGGTATTCCTAAAAAAAAAACATATAATGCAAAATATCTAAACATTCTGAAATCAAGAAAAGTTTAATTGAAAGCAATAAGTTTTTTTTTCCGAATAAAAGTCACACAAGTCACACAAAAAAAAACTTCCAACGAATCCAAAAACATCTACTAGAATGTTTATAAATTCAAAAACAATTCTAATAATTTTGCCAGTATAAAGTGCTAAATCCTAAACACGCATATTGTTTTACAGTAAATACCTGTATTGTGGGCAGCACAGACAGAGCAGACGCTGTAACGCACAATAACATGTTGAAGCAGATGAAGAACTTGTTGAGCACACATCCCTCCGGCTGAGTGTAGATGCTGAAGCAGAGAAGCGCCGCCGAGAAGGACAGAATATAGTTCAGTCCTGTTACCAACACTAAAGCTAAGAGGAAATAGACATAATACGCAAATTATAACATAATATTTATTCAATCAATTCAAATTGCTCTTTCAGATTTGGTGCTATGACTAAATGTTCAGAAATTACAAATAACAAAGATGGTCTGCACTTAGTTTATTAAATAAACACTCATATATAAACACATATATATAAACAGAAGGAGATATAATTGTGCAAAACATTTATTGAACAACACAGAGTAAAAATCTGTAGCAATTTATAGTTCTACATGCGTGAAGCTCTTACCTATATACCACCTTTTTTCATTTTCTTTTTCCATTTTATCCACCCAGGATTCGTTCCACGAGTGGGCGAAGTCGATAAGTAAAACCAGCTGAATCAGAATAAAGCAAAAAGCTCCACCAGATCCAACAATAAACCACACTAAAGAAAAAGACAAAATCAACATGCAGTTATGCATAAAAATCACCAATATGTATTTAAAAAACAATTAAACATATCGGTATCAGCCGATAGATGTATAAGCAGGCATATCAGTACTGGCTGATAAATAAATAAGCAGACATTTTGGTATCGATTGATGAACGTATGAGGAGACTTATCAGTATCGGCTAATAAATGTATAATCAGAAATATCGGTATGTGCTAATAAATGTATAAGCAGAAATATCAGTATCGGCTGATAAATGTGTAAGCAGACTTATCGGTATCAGCTAAAAAATGTATAATCAGAAATATCGGTATGTGCTTATAAATTTATAAGCAGAAATATCAGTATCGGCTGATAAATGTGTAAGCAGACTTATCGGTATCAGCTAAAAAATGTATAATCAGAAATATCGGTATGTGCTTATAAATTTATAAGCAGAAATATCAGTATCGGCTGATAAATGTGTAAGCAGACTTATCGGTATCAGCTAAAAAATGTATAATCAGAAATATCGGTATGTGCTTATAAATTTATAAGCAGAAATATCAGTATCGGCTGATAAATGTGTAAGCAGATTTATCGGTATCGGCTAAAAAATGTATAAACAGACATATTGGTATTGGCTGATAAATGTATGAGTGGACTTATCGGTATCGGCTGATTAATCTATAAGAAGACATATCGGTATCGGCTGATAAATGTATGAGTGGACTTATTGGTATCAGCCAATAGATGTAAAAGCAGACATATCAGTATCGGCTGATAAATAAATAAGCACACATATTGGTATCAGCTGATGAATGTATGAGTAGACTTATTGGTATCAGCTGATAAATGAACAAGCAGACATATCAGTAACGGCTGATAAATGTGTGAGTACACTTATTGGTATCGTTCGATAGATGTATAAGCAGACATATCGGTATTGGCTGATGAATGTATGAGTGGATTTATCGGTATCGGCTGATAAATTTATAATCAGAAATATCATTATCAGGTAATAAATGCATACGCAGAAATATCATTATCGGCTGATAAATGTGTAAGCAGACTTATCGGTATCGGCTCAAGAATGTATAGACAGATATAACGTTATCGGCTGATGAATGTATGAGTAAACTTATCAGTATCGGCTAATAAATCTATAAGCTGACATATAGGTATTGGCTGATAAATAAATAAGCAGAGATATCGGTATCGGCTGATGAATGTATGAGTAGACTTATTGGTATCGGCTGATAAATGTATAAGCAGACATATCAGTATTGGCTGATTAATATGTGAGTACACTTATTGCTATCGGCTGATAAATAAATAAGCAGACATATCGGTATCAGCTGATGAATGTATGAGTAGACTTATTAATATCGGCTGATAAATGTACAAGCAGAAATATCAGTTTTTGCTGATAAATATGTAAGTACACTTATTTGTATCGGTCGATAGATGTATAAGCAGACATATCTGTTTTGGCTGATAAATAAATAAGCAGACATATCGGTATCGGCTGATGAATGTATGAGTCTTAAGCAGACTGTAGGTCTCGGCTGATAAATGAATAAGCAGACCAATCAATATCGGCTGATAAATGTTGAAGTAGACTTATCGGTATTGGCTGATAAATCTAAAAATATACATGCTGGTTGAATCCTTTCTGATAAAACCCATAACCCACTACATTTGAGTGCATTTGTTTTTAATTATCAGCTTTCATATACACAGTTTTCAGCCAAAACTATCAGTACATCCATAAAATCTACAATTCTGAAATGAAAACGTCGAAGACTTACTTCTGGTAAAAGGCTCATCTGGAATATAAAAGGCACCAGCAGTGACAGAAATCATGACCGCAATCTTGAAACACCAGAACCTGATGAAATATAGTGCAAGTCACCACATAAGAGTTCCTTGATTCAAATGTTCTAATAATGATTTGACTTAAATAATTTATTTGTGTACTCCCCCCACTACTGATCTAGAAGCAGTTTTCTAGAATAAAGTAAATCGAGTATAAAGTACTCCACATTTGAGTGAACTGACCCATTGTGGACGGCAGCTCTGGGATCTCGGCTGTTCTTCACACGGATCATGAACAGGGAGAAGGTGAGAAAAAACAGACTCATGCCACAGCAGACCCGATACACAGCCTTATAGCCAACAAACATCTCACACTGGACATTGGCCTCAATTCCTGGATAACCAGATCTAGCTCCTCCAGTGCAAAACCCAGGGATCTGAGAACGAGCCAATCAAACGATTAAACCCTTGGAATATCTTGACTAGCAGGTTTAAGCTATGTTTACAACATGCTAATGCATGCTAGCAATGTGCTAACCATACTGCAAACGTACTAAAAAGCAAGCTATATGCTACATCATGCTTGAAATGTGTTACCTACATGCTAAAAATATACTATGCTAATAACATGCTAGGAAATGGTTTAATTGATGGAAACAACAGGTTAGGAAGGCTAAAAACATGCTAGCAAACTGTTAAAGCAAGCTTGCAAAAGGTATAGCAACATGTTATACAGGTTGAAACATAAATAATGGTAGAAACATGACTAAGCAGAATGTTAAAGTATGTTAAATGATAGAAATGAGCTAATTTGTGGTGGAAACATGAGTTGAACTGGCAACCATTTTAAAATGTTAGCAATATGCTAAACGGATTAAAGAGGTGTTAAACATGCTATAAATGTGCTAGCATTATGCTAATTTATCATGAGAGTGGTAATGGTAAAATGTGCTACAGATATATGATTCATACTACTAACTTGATCATTCATGCTAGCAATGCTAAGCATATGCTAAATCATTGTTACTTTCTACATCACCTTAGGTTTACACAAGTCCATATTTAGTTTTTCCAAGCAAAGTTTTCATTAAAAATGTGTGTCAGTATGTTTTCATTTACATGTTATGTATTATTAAATGTCTAAAACATCTTTCCAACAGCTAAGTCATACAACTTCATAACACTCCACATGCAAAACTTGTTGAGCGCCTGATTGACAAAACGTTTGTCAGCTTCTTGACGCACATTACTGGAAGTATGGGATTATTTTTAATCCCCGCTAATGCTTCATAAGAACCCGCGCTTACTCTTTTGAGTTGTTGTTCAACACCAGGCGACAGCATCACACAGGCGATGATTGTGCCGAGCAGAAGGATGAAGGCGTACATGATTCGGGTTACAATAGAGTTCCTGATGTGTGGACAACATCTGCAAGTCAGACATGATGCACAGCTGCAGAGACAGGAAACCTTCAGAGAAAATAAAATGGTCATTAGTATCAAAAATAAAAGTATTAGCATGATTTTAAAGGGAACCTATGACTCCTTTTTGATGTTCCTAGAGCGTGTGAAGTTTTCAGCTTAAAATACCACAGAAATAGTGCTTTGATCCTAATTGTGGCGTTTTGGTGACTGTTGCTTTAAATTCAAATGAGATTGTGCTTTTTTTAGAAGAGGGCGGAGCTACAAATGCCTATCCTACAAAACTCTGGCTGCGTCCGAAACTGCCTACTACTCAGTAGGTACTGCATTTGAATTTAAACGTACTAC